AAAAAAAAACCTGCAAAATGTGGTCAGTGGCATCTGCTACTGCTGTTTTCTTATTCTCCTATTGGGACCTTGTCTTCCAGCAATCCCAAAGCTCTGTGAACATATTTTTAAAGATTTATTTATTTATGCATACAGAACTGGGTTACAGGCCAGAGGTGCAGGGGTGGTGAGAGGATTCACCAGAGACAGAGTGGGGGGCAGAACAGGCAGACTGATGAAATGTACTGCTTAGAGAAGCAGTGGGTGAGACAAAAGTCTATATACCTTGTGGGCCACTTCCCTGGCCTGGAATCCAGTTTATGTTGAAACAAATCTGGCTGTGGCTAGATTTGTCATGCTGTGCTTTAAACCACTTCCTCACGAGGGAGGTCCAACTCTGTGAACTTCTAAATCCTTGATTTATTCTGTCTCAGTAAGACTAACAACAAGTAGATATGTCTTTGTTGTGAAATCACTATAGAATAGGTTATTTTATGTACTTACAAATTGTCAATATAAAGTATGTCTTAAAAGTTACTATTCTGGGCCCTCGCTGGTGGTGCAGCAGGTAAAAGCACAGCACTAAGAAGCTAAAACCACTTCAGCATGAGTTCGAGCCCCACCCCGGAGGTGACCCACATGGCACAGCAGACCTCTCCTAGCCCACCCACTGCTCCCCTCAGCAGTGTACTTCGTCAGTTGGCCTGTTCTGCTCCCCACTCTGTCTCTGGTGAATCCTCTCGCCACCCCTGCACCTTTGGCTTATACCCCAGTTCTATATGAATAAACAAATAAGTCTTTAAAAAATTACTATTCTGTGCTGTTTTTAAAATAGCACCTTTTAAAATGCTATCCTTTTTAAAAGAAATAAATATCACACTAGAAGTATACAATTGAGATATTATATATTAAAAAGTATATTTGTTTGTGACTTAATCCAAGAGGATTAATGGTGGAAGGTCATTCCAGGCAGAAGGAGCAGCTATAACTAAGGCCCTGGGCCACAGGCCAGGAAAAGCCAGGAGGCCAGCATGACTGGAGAGAGTGACTCGGTTCTACAAAGCAAGGAGGAATTACAAGTCCTGCAGAGTTTTGTTGATTTTTGCTACTTTAAATAGAAAACAGTTTGCAGAACTCAGAACAAATGACATAATTTGATTTGTGCTTTAAATGGATCATGCTATTGGTGTTGAGAATAGATTGTGGGAGACAAGAAAGTCTACTAGGCACTACTGTATTAAGGGACCGAGAATGGATGATGATGGCTTTGCTGGATGGGAGCAGTAAAGCCAACAAGTTTTGCTGAGGGATGGTAATTGAGGACAAGAGAAAGTGTGGATTCTAGGGACAATCTACTGAAAAGGGAAGACTGTGGAAGGAACAGGTTTGGGGGGGAGGCGTTTGCATGGGGTTTGTTTTGTTAGATGCTGAAATACCTTCATACAAGTCTAGATTTCAGAGAGCGATCCAGGCTGATGAAATAAATACATTCAGAGGGTTTAGGAAAATAGAGTATATCAAATATAATAGCGAAGGTAATGATAGAAAAATAATTATAGCTGTCGTTTATTTCATGTTAGGCACTGTGCTCGGCTCTGGTTGGTTTAACTCCAACAAAATGAAAAGGGGTGGAGCAAAGGAGGTATATACTATCAAGAGTCAGAAACGCTAATGGTCTCTGTTCCCCACTTTCTTAGGATTCTGTTTGACGATGTGCAAATAACACCCACCTCTGTGCACCTCTTTATAGGGGTGAGATCTTGCAAATTTCCCACCCTGGATCAACCTGGACACTCCAACCTGGGTAGGGTCCAGCACAGCCAAGTTCCCGCGCCTGCGTACAAAGGCCCAGTTGGAGAGGGCGGGGCCTACGCGAGCTAGGCGTCTGGGCGGTGCCGCACGTTGCTAGGAGACGTTAGGGCTGCCAAGGCGCCAACAGTTGGCCTCTCATTGCCTAGTTCAAGAATCTCTAGTGGAGAAGACTAGCACTTTCCTACGAGCTCCTAACGGGGTGCCCCGGCGACCCTGAGACCCCAACGACTAGAGGTAGAGCGAGGGGAACCACCGAGAGCTGGACCCAGCGGTGGGTGGACTCGTCTCCGCAGGGCCCTGGCCTGCCCGCCCCGGAAGCCCAGGTCCTGCCTCCTCTCGGGTGCTACCTGTTGGTTCTGCTGTTTTTCCAGTTTGCAGGTTTCCAGTCGGCTGCCTTTAGGGAAGGGATTTTATCTGATCCAGAGTGTGATTCTCTAGTACCTTCATGGTTCCCCGGCTCCTCTTTTGGCGTTAGGGGGCCTCGATTCCGGGTTTCTAGCATAATTTGTCCATCTCAGCCTTCTTTATGCAGATTTTACAGACGCAATTGGTAATTAATGGCAAAAAAGAAAATGTTTAAGGAACCGGACAAGTCACGTTTGTCCGTTAAGGGTAGTGGGGAGAGGGGGGCCGTGCGCCCCAAAAGGCGTGGCTTTAAGCTGTATAAATGTAGATTTACACACCTGGTCTATGCTGGAAAACAATTTTGTTTTTCAATAGAATCACAAAAATTGTAAAAGTTGAGGGCATTAGAAACTAATGATATCTTTTTACAGTTCAGCAAACTAAAGGCCTGGGATATTAATTGACCAAGGTTATCTGATGCGAATGGGCTCCACCTCTCGCTTATCCTGCTGCATATAGAAACAGGAAAAAACAAAAATAAAATGGGAAAGAAATGGAATATAAGGGACACGATTACTGTTGGCATTTAATACGATTAAGAGTCAAAGCGCTTTCCAGAGTAAAAAGGATTTTCATACAGAAGGGAGTTTGAGATGACTGACTACATCAAAGCTTTCCATTAGATTAAATTGCAACCAAGATTGGATATTGGTGTATTTTTTAATACCTATATAAATCCTAATACTACTTTAAGAAAATTTGAGTTTTGCAAATTTCTTCTTCTGCAAATACAACTTAGCGCTGTGGAGTGCAAAGGTATTTTTATCAATTGTTGCAACAAGGGCCAGTTAAAGATGAAATATTAAAATGCTGAATGTTATCAGCAGAATCAATACGGCCTTTGAATGCCCCAGAATCACTGAAATATTTCATCAAGGCCCTTTAAATTTATCTGTCCCAATGTTAATTTCATTGTTTTTAATAAGTAGAAATTTTAAAGGACTCCCTCTCTGCCATATACATAGTGTATACATAGTATATTTTAGTAGTCAATAACATTCCTAATGGTGAAGACATTCTTGTTCCCTTTAGATATCTTGGGGCAACACAATTTTTAAATATCTGATGCATCTAAAAGATGTTTTTGTTTTTTTTTTACTGAGAAAACTGGCAATATCACCAGTAGTTCAACTGAATGCAGCATATTTTCTGCTCCTCTAGTAAATGTAGTATTTTTATATGTATAACACACTTGACTATTATTGTTTGACAGCGACAGGTTAAACAGATGATATTCAGGAGAATATTTTTGGATGAATATGAGCAAATAAAGCCTATATATCAAAATACCACACCTAAAGCAAAAATGACTTGGGTAAAATAAAAATTAAGATTACACCAGTACTTTCAGAAAATATGCTTCATCTGTAAAAACATTATAGTAAAGCCACTAAATTCATTTAAAAAAATGACTAATTTTGAAAATATTTTAATGAGTTTACACTTATTTCCTTTTATGTTTCTTGATGTCTTTTTATAAATACATATGTATTATATATTCATATAATATTATAGAGATGAGTATATGTGTTAATAGATTATATAAAGCTGTGCCATATATGTCCAAATCACTTTTTTAGTGTATTGTATAGCAATGAAGTAGTAATCCTCTCATTCAAATGAATGGAATGAAGGACAAAGAATTCATGAAAATATGGCTTATTTATTGTTTTGCCAGGTATTCCTAATTTATTTAAATTACATAAATCTATATAACAACATAATAGCTCACTATCTTAAAATACAACATAAACCTGAACCTAAATTAATAATGATTGACAATAAGTCAAATGTTAACAATATCTTAATTTTCTTTGGGATAGTTATGTGATATGCACATTTGAAAGAATGCAAACAACAATATTAATGGTTTCTTCATTTAGGCAGTTGCTACTTTTCATCAAAGTAAAAATTGTGACTCAAATAACATCCTTTTAATTTTACTTAAATCTGGAGCTAAATTCAAACAACTATGAGAATTATATTTTAGGAATAGACTATAAATGCCATATTTTAGAATGTTAAATAAGTGATACATCAAAAATGTAGAGGATGTTAGCAGAAGCAATAAAACCAGTTTTCTTTTCATGGAAGAGAGTTAATTGGTACTTGTGTGTGATTTATATATACATGGAGTTCAAACAAATGATTTAACTTCCTAACAGCCTCCATTATGTTTTTATACTAACCACTGAGGGAATTCTTGGGCTGTTTCTTTCATATTGAAGAAATATTTACCTGAAATTCAGTAATATTATCCATGTTCTTTCCATTTCTTTCCCTCCCATGTAAAGCTAAGTTGATTACACTTGTAAAAGCATTTCTTTTTCTTTTCTAACTCTGTTCTGCTACCTCATCAATTGTTTGGAATGATATTCACGTGATACTAAAGATGGCTATTTCTAATTGCTATAATTTTATTTTGCCCTTTCTTTTTTTGTACGTTAATGTATGTCTTGACCTCTTTAACATAATGAACACAACATAACTATAACTGAAATTTTTTTAACAGATTCACTTATAGATTTTACTTTATGAAATCTGATTCTAATGTATTTTAACCAATGGAAATGTATTTTAATAGAATAGATTCAAGGAATTATGGTGAAATTCCAAGCACTTTATTTCAACTAAAATGACTGACAGATTTTGCTAACAGAATAGGAAGTAACTAAAAAACAAGATTAAGTCTTAGACAAACTGCCTGTATAAGTTTGGTGATTGGACAACAACAGGAACTGGAATTAAATATTTGAATTTCAGAGGCTCTTGGTGATCTCCTACATGGTTTTAAAATCACTGACCTCAGTGTTGTGACAGCCACCCTGCCTTCACAGACGGACCTGGTGTTCCTCGACCTTCTCCCATGCGGCCATCACAGGAGCTGGGCCACAGATTCCTGCGTGAAGAAACCACAGTGATTGGGATGACTTCAAACAGTTAAAAATGAAAGAAGAAGAAAAAACCACTGTTTGCTAAACAGAAGACTGATTTATTTTTTAGGGGGGGAGAATAAAAGGGGGAAAGGAGTATGCAGATTTGAATATGATTTAATGAAATGGTGGTAAGATATTTTTACAATCTACCAAATAGTTAAAATAAGAGTGTGGCTTCAGAAGTATATAAGCTCTTGCCTACATCATTAGAATAGGTAAAGAGCATTTGGGACATCATAACTCTGAGTGCATTTTATTTAATGAAGAAACGAATACCTCTCAACATATGTATAAGGGTCCCTTTTATTTGGTTTCCAAAATAGAGCATGAACCCATCTGACCTTAGAATTATATTAAATTTAGTATATTTGATGGGGTTCTTAATTCCAATTTTTTTTTTAAGATTTCTTTATTCGTACAGAACTGGGGTACGAGCCAGAGATGTGGAGGGTGAGAGGATTCACCAAAGACAGAGCTGGGAGCAGAACAGGCAGATCAACGAAGTACACTGCTGAGGGGAGCAGTGGGCGGGTCAGGAGAGGTCTGCCACGCCATGTGGTCACCTCTGGGGCAGGCGGGAATCAAACTCATGCGGAAGTGGCTTAAGCTTCTTTGTGCTGTGCTTTAACCCGCTGTGCCACCAGGGAGGGCCCTTAATTCCAATTTTTAAAAAGACTTATTTATGCATACAAGGCCTGGGGTATAAGCCAGAGGCGAGGGTGGGGCCAGTATGGGGGGGAGGCAGCTGTAGTGATTCACCAGAGAAGAGTAGGGAGCACAACAGGCAGAGCTGCTGAAATACACTGCTGGGGGGAGCAGTGGGTAAGACAAAAGAGGTCTGCTGTGCCTTGTGGGTCAGCTTCCTCTCTGGCTGGGGGGCAAACTCCTGCAGAGGTGGCTATGGAGAGCTTCTTAGTCCTGAGACTTAATCCCCTAGGCCACCAAATTTTTATATACGAATCTTGTTCATTCTTAAAGGGATTATCAAAATGGTCACTATTATCTATTAATGTATTTTAACATTTTTCAGAAATTATTGCTAATAAGACCTCTGTAGCCATGGCTAGTTCTGATGTGAAACCAAAATCAATACATCGTGCCAAAAAGTGGACAGAAGAGATAGAAAATCTTTACAGATTTCAACAAGCAGGCTATCGGGATGAAATTGAATATAAACAAGTGAAACAAGTTTCTATGGTAAGATTCCTGCCTCTACAAACATGAACTCAAAATGACTTTGCTGGTTGGTTAATAAAAAAAAGTGTTAAAACACAGAACCAGAGAATAATCAAAAGGGAAATTCATCCTAACATTTTCATTTTATTGATGGGAAACTGAAGCCCAGAAGAGTAATTTTCACTGAGACTAGGGGAAGACTCTCAGTGAAAAAACAGTCTGTGTTTTCTATGTGCTTTCATAAATTAATCTTTTGTGGTAGACCATAAGCAGAGTCTTTGCCCCTTGTTTAGGTAATTCTTAGCTTATAAGATATTCCATTTGCTATACATTATTTCTTTCCGAGTTCTTAAAAACTTTAACCATGAATTATAAATGACCATAAATTATTAAATATTAGGTGGCAAAAATCTGTTAGAGAGCAACTCCTGACTTTAGTTGTGAATTTCAGACTCTCTTGAGGGGTAAATTGGATTTGCTTTACAAAAATTAGACCAAGGACCAGGCAAAGACAAGATTAGATTAGACATGGTATCAGTTTACAACATATATTTTTTTTTTTTTGTCATTTAATCTACAGGATGCTAGCAGACTCAGTTTTTAAGATTAGGGAATATCGTATAGTATTCATAAGTGTATTTTAGTTTTTAAGCTTGGAGCTACAACACTGTGCTTACTATTACCTTGATTTTTAAATTTTAATTATTTTATCTTTAGCTGCTAATTCATGTGTGGATTTTTCATGTCTATATTTTCATTCATTCTATTCTTTGCTCTCCATTTACTATTTCAGGGATATACAGGCAATGTGTTTGGTTAGGCTGCAACCACACCCCTAAACCTTACTGTTGTGTCTGAGATAAAATCAGATTTATGAGAACACAAAGATCCTTCTTCAAGAGGAAGTCCCCAAAGTCTGAGAGAATGAGAGCAAGAATATCAGTTGTGATGGAAAGAGCCAACTGATTTTCTTATATGACTTGGCAAAAATGAAATTTCTTTTTACTTCATTTCAGTAAATATTTGCAATGTGCAAATATTTGTGCCAGGCACATTCGAAGATAAAAATATAAGTGAATGCCAAGAAGTTTAATGGGCTGGTGGTATGAGTATAGGGTGGACAGTCTGCCCAGGTTTGCCCCTAGCTGTCCCTTTCAGTAGCTGGGCAATCTTTAGCAAAGTTCGTAAACTTCACTTAGCGCAACTCTGATATGGTGACTGCAGTTATTGCTAGAAAATTGTCCCAGGAATTAACTGAACTCATAAATGTAAAGTGCCTGACATTGTGAAACTCCATAATGTGTTTAGTGAATGCACTAAACTGTGCTTAAGAAATTATAGCTTTTATTAATTCTTTTTAAAAAGATTTATTTATTTAAGCGTACAAGAACTGGGGTACAGGCCAGAAGTGCAGGGGGTGAGAGGATTCACCAGAGACAGAGAGGGAAGCAGAACAGGCAGAACTACTGAAATATACTGCTGAGGGGAGCAGAGGACAGGTCAGGAGAGGTCTGCCATGCCATGTGGGTCAGCTCCCTGGCTGGGGATGGAATTTGTGCTGCAGCGGCTGCAGATAGCTTCACAGGGCTGCGCTTTAACACACTGCACCACAAGGGAGGGTCGAGCTTTTATTAATTCTTACAATCTTGAAGAATATTAAGTAGAAGAGCAATAAATACTAATGCAAGTCAAAGTATGCATGTCTTATAAGAAGCAACAGAGATTTAGAGGAAAATAAATTACTTCCTTTTAGAGACAATCCTTGCCTCCTCCCCGCAGCCACGTTTGCCATTAAGAACTTCATGTTCCACGGGCCTTTACCTTGAACTTTAAAGAATGGGAGGGGCTGTAGCCAGAGATTTGCCTAGTTTGGTTTATTTTCACCAGTATGCTGTATTCTGAAGGACTTGGGTCAAGTTTTATGTCTTTACACACATCGTTATGAATGTTCTGAGTACTTCCATGTCTCCTTCCCTAAGGACAACTGCTTCCTAGATTAAACAGGAGAGATCAAGTAAAAGCCAAGAACAAAAATTATGAAAATAGCAAAGGTATAAAATGAAAACTGTCTGGAGGCAGCTAAGCAGGGAACCAATAGACTGTAGGAGACTCATTCCATATTAAGTGGCTGTGAATGTCTCAAAGAAGCAACTATTGTACATTTTCTTCACTAATGACATAGTTCCCGGGAATCTCCACTAGGTGTGAGAGGAAAAGATGGTGACTTGGAAACACCTTACTTTCCCTGCTGAGAGTAACAGAAGCAAAAGAAGGCAGTCTTGAGCTGAGAGATGGAATGGCTGCTTTTTTCTCAAATGTATGTCAGATACCAGTCAAAGCTTGTCAGATAATGCTGTTCCCCATTTTACTCATTCTTAAATAAAGGAGACAAGAGAAGAAAATACAATTGTGTTGTTAGAAAATAAAAGACTGGGCCCTCCTTGGTGGTGCAACAGGTTAAAGCACAGCACTGTGGGGCTGTCTGCACCCACTGCAGCACAAGTTGGATCCCCAGGGCATGGCAGACCTCTCCTCTGCCACTCTCTGTTCTCTTCAGCAGTGTATTTCAGTGGATCTGCCTGTTGTGCTCCCCACTCTGTCTCTGGTGAATCCTCTCAATTCTCTCAGCCCCTGCTCCTCTGGCCTGTCCCCCAGTTCTTGTGTGCATAAATAAATAAATCTTTAAAAAAGAGAGAGAGAAAAAAGATGTATATCTTTGTATTCATGGTGTAGTCATATTCCAAGTGAGAGTTGTGCTTTATAAAGGGCATGAGGAGAAGCCAAGACCTTCTGGCTGTAGATGGTGATGAAAAATAGGGTTTGATTCCAAATCATGAATCCTGAATAAGGGGCTTTTGACAATGATAGATTGTAACTCTCAAAATTCACAAAGAAAAACATATCTCACAACAACAGAAATTCATTGAACTGATCAAGAACACATACATGAATATGGAAAAAAAGGGGAAGAAAATGTTCAAATTAGATAAGCCAAACCATAAATTTAGCAAATAAAAAGGTCACATAGGGAAAAGTGGGGTATGATTGGAGGTGAGAAGTCTAAGAACTATATTCTTGACCTCAAATTTCTACTAAAAATTGAGTCAGGCCCTCCCTGGTAGCGCAGCAGGTTAAAGCACAGCACTAAGAAACTAAAGCCACTTCAGCATGAGTTCGATCCTTGCCCTGGAGGTGACCACATGGCGCAGCAGACCTCTCCTACCCACCCACCGCTCCCCTCAACAGTGTACTTCAGCAATCAGCCTGTTCTGCTCCCCACTCTGTCTCTGGTGAAGCCTCTCACCACACCTGCATCTCTGGCCTGTACCCCAGTTCTGAGTGCACAAATAAATAAATCTTTTAAAATAATAAATAAATAAATAAATAAATGAATATTGAGTCTCAAGCTGCCTTGGCAACATGGAGGTGAGGAAGAACAGGCCCTTTGAGTATGTTCCTCCCAGCTGCCGCCTTTAGTCACTGGAGCATATGAAGCGAGGTACAGAAAGGGAAGCTTGGCCTCACCCTCATTTCCTCCTGGGTGTTATTTTTGTAGGCTAGGAAGTAATAATGTTTAAAATATTTTGTTTAAACATAAAAAAGAGTTTGAACATTTTCACCTTGAGTACAGAGCAATTGAATAAAAATTTAAATGTAGAAGTTGTACTCTAGAGAGACACCTTGAGTGAATTCTACAGTGTGCAACCCACACTCAGTGCAAACTCAGATGTGTTCTCTGTGTGTGTGTGTGAGAGAGAGAGAGAGACACTCTCTAAGAACTAGAGTATTTTTAACTTTAATTTTTCAACATAAGTGGTACTTTTAACTATTTGATAGTAAAATAATACATAAAAATAGAACTGGCATCACAGTATGTGTGTTCTGGTTTTCAATGTGCAGGTAGATCGTTGGCCTGAGACAGGATATGTGAAGAAACTTCAGAGAAGGGACAACACTTTCTATTACTACAACAAACAGAGAGAATGTGATGACAAGGAAGTCCACAAAGTGAAAATTTATGCCTACTAGTCTTCAAAGGAGTGTTTTAAAACACAGAAGTCTTGAAACCTGATATCATAAACATCCTGTTCTGTCCCAAGATACAAGTGCAGAAGCATTAAAGGTGCACTCATCTTGGTCCTGTTCTTCCTGACTCTCTTAACTGTGGTAGAATAACCATGTGGAAGGAGGGGTGGGGGAAGACTCCATGTGAAACCATTCCAGTGGTGAGGCTAGTTACCTCTGTGTACCTTTGTGTCAGCGTTCCAGCCACACAAACCCCCCATGGCTACCACTTTACAAGACCATCACTGGAACTGTAAAGCTCGCTTGGTAGCCCGTGGCCTTTCTCTGGCATCAGGAGTCCCTTGCCTCAAGCTGCAAAGGGATGATAGGACCGGCCCATGTGGAGGTTGTGTATAAAGGGCCCAGTGACCTAACACCTCACCAGGAATCTACCTGAGTTGTATGTTTTGTACCAGTGCCAGTTTACCCAGGACTAAGCCCAAACATTAGTAATGGTGCCAGATTAAAAACCATTGTCCCTTGGCTTCCTAACCACTTCCCTGACTCGGGGTCAGGGGTTCTTTCCCTCTGGAATCTTCCTTATACTTGAAGTCTTATCTGAGGGTTGGCTTCTGTATTTCCCACCTGGACAACTTATGTTCCAGTACCTCCTGCAATTAGCAGAAACAGCCTGTGGGCTAATGAGGGAGGAACTTCGTTAGTCTTCCCAATTCAAAGTTGAGCTTCTTCAGCATTTCTTTTCTAATATCACAGAAGGGGTACAGTTCAGCAAGCCTCCTCTGTGTCTTTCTCAGTACAGCCTGCAATGTTTGTACTTCACCACTTGTTCTAAGTTATATATTTCTACCTTTCTGGTCATGGTTTCTATCACCTTCCAGATGTAGCAAACTCTCTAAGAAGTTTTCTGAATCTGATACTGTTTCTTTTGTTGTTGTTTTCCCAAATCCACTGTGACAGGCAGAATAATTGCCCTCAAATATAGCCACACACTCATTTTGCAAGTACAATAAAGTCATAGAGCTTGAGGTGGAATATCTGGGTGGGCTCAATGTAGTCCCAGGAGCCCTAAGAGGACAGCAGGTGAGTCAAGAGAAGGAAATGTGATGATGGAGGCAGAGGTCTGAGGGCCTTGTGATAAGGGTCTTGATTTCTTTCCCTCCCTCACTCCTCCCCTGACCATATCCAGTCCAAAATCTTTTGGGGGGTTGAAAGGATGAGGTCCATTTTCTGTAGCTGCTTCCTGCTGGAGTGGGACATAGAGCTGCCCTACCACAAGGGCCTGGGATATGGTCTCCCTAACACTAGTCACTGAGCTTCCTATTGTTGCTGGTTTCAGAAGGAGGCATAAACAAAGGAGTGAGCCCCTCGCAAGAGAAAAAGACTGTATCAGGGCAGTATCTGCACTGGCCCTGGGCAGCAGTCCTGCCCACCTGGGCCTGTGCTTCTTTCCACTCTCTTACTCCCTCTGCAGTCCTGTCTACCATGACCTGTACCTGCCAGGGCTTCTCTTCAGAGGAGGCGGCTCTCCTAAGCACCCGCCCCCTGCCCCCCACACACACACCACCACCTGCAACCAAGTAGGCCTCTCTCAGCAAACATGTCCCTTTCAGGGCAACTCTTCCTGCCTATGCAAATGTCCTTCTTTGTCCCTGCTCCTAATAAGCCTGCTTTTTAAATATAACTAAGGTCTCTGTCTTGTGGAGAAACTCTCCACAAGAAAGGGGAGCTCTGGTGAAACCTTTCCCAAAGTGCAGGACAGACTACTGCTCTCGGGACCCTCCCTGTCCTTGCCCAAATGTTTCTTCATCGGATGTTCATCTGTGCCCTCCTTTAGTCAACTGTAAATGTGAGTGTTTCCCTAGTTTTGTGAACCCCTCCAGTAAACTGAACCTAAGGCAGGCGTTGAAGGAACAACTGAGCTACAGCAGATCATCAAAAGCACAGTGATAACCAACCTGAACTTGAAACTGTCATCTGAAGGGTTTGTGATAAGAGAGTAGGAAGGAGGCTTTTGTAAGATTAAGCCTTTATCTGTAGGATCTGATGCCATCTGGGTAGGTAGTCTCCGAATTGAATTACATTGGAAGACACCCAACTGGTATTGAAGAATTGCTTGATGTGGGGATAAAATGCCACTCACTCGGTCACTAGAAGCAAAGGCTCAGAAGACTTTCCCCTACATAGAAAAAGGAAAAATGTGGGGTCTGCTAGAATTAAAGAGCTGTTGAAGCCACCAGTCTGGAAATGCAGGTCAGCCTTTTCAGGACAAAGTCTATTTGCCCAGTCAATAATCTTCTTACCTTGCAAGAGGCACCACCTTTGTTAAGAGCAGGGTGCTTAATCCCCTGGGAGAATGAATGAATGAATGTCTCTGAGGCAAGAGCAGGAACTCCTGGGAAGCCTCTGACTGATTCTCCTAAATTTGCCTCCCTGAGAATCATCAGCAGAGTTCCTTGTGATCTAACCAGGTGTAAAAGGTTCATAAGCTTGAGTGGGCCTTGAAACTGGGCTATACATTTAACTCAGATTCAGACACCCCAAAATAACCTAATCATCCATTTCTTCCTCCTCACTCTTCTCTCTTTGTTCGCCAGCCCTGAGGAACTGACTCTGTAAAAGCACTCATTGAGGCAGCATCCTGCCAGAAAGGACTCCCATTTCTTTGACAATGTGATAGTGTGGTGTCGCCTGATGCAACAGAAAAACTTAGTTTTTCCATTTATACTGTAGATGGGACACAGCCAGTGACTTCTGTTCATGAAGTCATCATGACCTTATCTGAAACTTAGAATCCTTCCATCAGTGCCTGAACTAGCTCATCTCCTTTATGAAACTAAGACACCTGGCCATCTTGCCAGGGAGGGTTCTCTTTAAAATGCCTGTCCAAGAGCAATCTGTGGTCATATGGCTTCAAGTTGTGTTTCTCTTTAAATGACAAAAGCAGGCGGAGGTGACCAAAGGAACAGTGTGCGGCAAAGATTTAACAGAGCAGGGTTGAAACTATGATCCTTAGAAAACCTGTGTGTTTTTTTTTTTTTTTTTCATTTGCCTGTTTGGTTTTGTTTTTGCCAGGCTAGCCCTGGGCGCTACCTGGTAACTTAGATTTCAGGAGAGCTCCCACCATTCCTGTGGCCCGTTGTACCTCAACTGTATGTTTTCCTCGGCTCTCTGTCTAAAAGTCTGGAACTTGCTAGGAGAGGGGACCTGTATCACCAGTCTAATGAGCTCCCTTGATAGACATCCCACAGGTGTTATCATGACACAGTGCTGGAGAAATGTAGGGCATCCTGTGTGACTCTGCCGGGAGAGGACTCTGTACATTGAACCTCAATTCCTCTGGCCTCCATATGCCTTGTTCTGTTTTACTCTGCTGGTTTGCTTTGTATCTTTTCCCTCTAATAAATCACAGCAATGGGCACAGCTATATGCTGAATCCTATGAGCCCTTCTAGCAAATCAAATCTGGAGGTTATCTTAGTGACCCCAGACATAAAGAACATATTTAGCTTATCACTGAAATATGCCAAAGCACAACAACAGTCAGAAGGGAAAGGAAAGTTCAGCTAGATGTCTTTGGGAAGATGTACAATGACATCTTTGTTGTCTTGGCTCCAGCCAAGGGCCTTAAAGGATCTTGTCTACTCTCTTCATAGCCCTGTTTTTTTTAAAAATTTATTTATTTATGCATACAGAACTGGAGTACAGGCCAGAGATGCACGGGCAGTGAGAAGATTCATCAGGGACAGAGCCAGGAGCAGAACAGGCTGACTGATGTACACTGCTGAGAGGAGCAGCAGACGGGTTGGGAGAGGTCTGTCTGCTGTGCCATGTGGGTCACTGGCCGGGACTGAACTCACACAGAAGTGGCTGCAGCCAGCTTTGCAGCACTGTGCCTCAACTCATTTCACCACCAGGGAGGTCCCCTCTCTTCTTATTTCTTGATGAAGAGGATTTTCTGTAGAAAGGGGAGATGGTATATAGTTGTTTTTCCTTGATGTGGTTTTTCTTAATTAGGAAACCTGAATCTAAAATTTTATCCCTTGGGCTGCTACTAACAGACCTACGAAGGTCTTTCCTACCAAGGTTCAATAGCAACATTTTTCTGGGATTTTCTCTAGCAACCCCACTGTGGCTTCCCATTGTTCTCAGAGGACCCAGTTCAATCTGCATAACTTCACTCTGCCAATCCCTACTTACAGGATTTTCCAAGGCAGTTTTCAATAGTTTCCCTTGTCACTGGCCTTGCAAACTTGGACAACCTCTGGAGGCACCGTGTGTGTGGAAAGAGCAGGGCCAGCTGCAGGGTCTCTGCAAGCCCTTGCCGCTCTTACTGCTGGAGGTCCCACTTATATCACATGCAATAGATTGAGATGTGCTAAGACTCCATTCTCTAAAAACATTATTTTTCCTCATTATATTTGAAAGACTTTAAAATTTCCCTTTCAAAGTTTTGGCAAATTTTCATGCTTTCTGGGGATAATTGAGAAGTGTCAAAAATCTTGGCCACACAGTATTTTATAAATACCTTTACAAATATAAAAATTAAAATTAAAAAAAGTAACAAAAAATAGGTATTTACATATAAACCTAAAAAAAGTTAAAATTAAATTTTTTTCCAAAAATTAATGTTTAGTTAAATAGATTGATGACTTGCCATAGACATAGAGTTCAATAGGCATTAATTCAAATTTGAAGTTTCCAATTTATGTATTAGATAGGTCATAGTTATATTGCTTTGTTTTAGGTCTCAGCCTGGTCCTGGGTAACACTGTGTCCAGTGGATATTCTCTTAAAACCTGGTGTGGGTTGAATTTCACTCTCAAAAAGAAATCTTTAAGTCCTGATTCCAATAACCTGTGAATGTGAAGTAGACTTGGAAGTAGACTCTTTGCAGATGAAATAACATTTAGATGGAGTCATAATGGATTGGGTAGACCCTAAATCTGAAGACTGGCATATTTATAAAAAGGAGGAGAATTAAGAGACACAGAAAACCACATGACAGAGGGGCAGAAACTGGAGTGATGCAGCTGCAAATCAAGGAATGCCAGGAGTTGCTAATAACCACCAGAAGCCAGGAAGAGACAAAGAGGAGGATTTTTCCGTAAAGTGAGCTTGCACAGGCAAGGTCTAGAATCCAGGTAGCAGAACTTCATACGATGAATGCATTGAGTCACAATCACCATTTAAAAAAAAATTAGACAAAAGGGATGCATCACTGGCACAGTCACTGTGGAAAAGATTCCATGACTGGCACTGGATATAAGTCAGATGCTACTACTGCTAAAGGGCCTTGCAACATTGTTAGACCTTCATTCATAATCACTGATTTTATGTGCCACTTGACTGGACTAATGGCTGCCCAAATACTTGGTCAAGCAGTATTGTGTGTTGATGAGAATGCTTTTGGATGTGATTAAACATTGAATCAGTAGACTGAGCAAAGCAGATTCCTCTTCCAAATGTGAGTAGGCCTCAGCCAATTCGCTAAAGATACGAATGGAGTAAAAAGGCTGACCCTCCCTCAAATAAGGGAGAACTCCTCCTGCCTGACTGCTGGGGTAGGACAATAGCTTTTCTTGTCTTTGGACTTAAGCCAAAATATCAGTTCTTTTTACATCCCAAGGCTACTTTTAAAGTGGAACTCAAGCCCTGGTCTATCCAACTTGCTAATGACAGATCTTAGGACTTGTCAGTCTCATTAATAATCTACCTCTTTAGAGATTCCTTGTATCTCCTATAGGTTCTATTTCTTGGAGAACCCTGACTAATACAGTCTCCCCACTCTCACAATTCAGTTGAAATAACAAAATAAACTGATGATGAAGTGAATAATGGGTCCAGCAGTACTTTTAATGCTAAAACATGAATAGAAAAGAAAAATGAACTAGAAAAATTAAGAACATCTCTGTAGAGATTGGGACATAAGCTGAATCTTGAAGGATGAAACCTGAAAAAAATAGATCTAGTCTAGACCCTACCAGGTCCCACTATGTAAATCTCAGATTAGGTTGGGTGGCCCCCTCACAGTGCAGCAAAAATGGCTTATTCATCGTTGCATCCAGCCCTCAACACAGTGCCTAATTGATACAGGATAGATGCTCAGGAAATGTTTGTCAATGAATAAAAGAAGGAAAATTTAGAAATAAAAAATAAAATAAGGAAAATATAGGTCTAACTGCCATATTGAGAAAATCCACTGATAGATTTAGATTGATAAAAGACTATGTAGATAAACCAAACAGGTTCTATTAATTATAGGAAAGCAGGTCATGAGGGTACCCATGCAAATTTAACAGTAATATTATCCAAACTTGCAGAGACAGTTTTCTGGGTCAAAGGATACTCTAGCAGGGACTTGGATGTGGATAATAATAGTTGAGTAGCTGAAGAACACCAGAGTTCTAGAAGTTTTATTTCCTGCAGTTATTTCCAATCTTAACTCTCTGGCGCACCTACATATATTCTTTTCGACAGTGCTGGCAACCACCTCACTTGAACAAGTTGCACATTGTCCATCCTAGAGTCCTTAACCTCAACTTAACCCTATGCCACTCATGGTCTTTTTTCATACAGCATCTCTAAAGATTGTCTAGCAACTCATCTGTTATATAAAATACCTCAGCTTTATCAGAAGCACAAGAAAAATCCAATGAAGGTCAAATCCAAACTTTGAACTACCCAAAAAAATCATCCCACGATTAGTTTTGTAATAAATTCCTCATGATTATCTTGAGTAGGCTTCAAAGATAAGGCTGAATTCTTTTTGCCTCTCCGAGACTGAGAAGTCTCTTCAGAAACTTGTTAATACATCACTGGATTGTTAATGCAAATGCATTTCTTCTTTGCTTTCAGGAACATTCAGTTGCCCATGCCCTAAATCTGATGATTAGCTTTGATTTTATGTTCTTCCTGGCCCCCGTGTCCTACTGGTTCTCCCTAAAGAGGACATATCTTCAAGCTTTCCACAACCTCTCACCTTTTTTCATGGCAGCTGATTTCTTTGTACCATCAGCTTTCTCATTGGTTGGTCAAAACACTTCCCATGATCCACCCTGGCCTACTTGCTCCTATTCTTCCTTTTCTGTTTAACTTCATCTCACTTTAGAGGTATCCTATTCTCACCCACTCTTATCTAGTTAGCAGTCCTTACCTGAACAAATTCTCACTGAATTTTTTCTTTTGCCACTTAACTAAAGCTGTCATAGATATGCTAATCTTTCCCCGCCCCACCCATAGTTCATAATGAGACTATGAACTCATGGAGACAGAAATCTCAAGTTTAAACTGTCTTTACAGTGCCCTTCCTGGTGGCACAACAGGTTAAAGCACAGCACTATGCAGCCTCTGCAGCATGAGTTCCATCCCTAACCAGGGCTGTGACCCACATGGTACGGCAGAGCTCTCCTGACCCTCATGCTGCCCCCTTCAGCAGTGTGTTTCAGTTGATCTGCCTGTTCTGTTCCCCACTCTGTCTCTGGTGAATCCTCTCACCCTCTCCCTCACAACATACACACCTCTAGCCTGTACCACAGTTCTTGTGTGCATAAATAAATCTTTAAAAAAAAAAAAAGATATTGTTTTAATCTGCTTTACATCTCTTGGCACTATGGTTCTAATTTGGATGGGTAGGTAGCCAAATGAATATTACATGATACTGGTGGCTAACAAAAGAGGAGTCTAGTTTAAAGTTGTTACTAGAGGTCTATTATATAAAGACAAGAATAATTTATTACCAGAATAAACTGGGATATACTTAAAATATTTTTCTTCCTGTTTTCATTTGCAAATGGTACATATCCATTGAAGAGCTGTTAAGAAATTTTCCTAAGTAGGAAAATTAGAAGTCACCCATGGTTTCATCCCTAAACACAAAATGTATTAAAAATATATATCTATTACCATTTTGGTATATTTCTTTCCAACCAAAAGAACTATAGTTAACATTTGAAACTCTCACAATAGAGAATGGCACATCTTAAAACAACTAGCAACAACAAATGTTGGCAAGGGTGTGGAAAAAAAGGAACTCTCCTGTACTGCTGCTGGGAATGCAAACTAGTATAACCACTATGGAAAACTGATTGGAGGTTTCTCAAACTGCTAAACATGGAGCTTCCATATGACCCAGCAATCCCACTCCTCGGTATCTACCCAAAAGACACAAAAACACTGATTCAAAAAGATACCTGCACCCCCATGTTTACTGCTGCTTTACTTACAATTGGAAAGACATGGAAATAACCCAAATGCCCAAAAGTGGATGAACTGGATTAAAAAGATGTGGTACATAGACACAATGGAATATTACTCAGCAACCAAAAAATAAATAAATAAACACATGATTTTTGCAGCAACATGGATGGAGCTGGAAGGGATCATGCTTAGTGAAATAAGCCAGAAAGAAAAGGAAAAATAATGGATGGTTTCACTCACAGCAAGAGTATAAAGGACCAGGGGAGAGAATAATAATAATAATAATGAGCAACTATATACCAGAGACATTTTATGGGGGCGAAATGGGGAATGGGATCAAAAACGGTAAGGGGAGGGAAGTGCACTGGACTATGGTGATGGCACATGGGTGATTTGGTGATGGGAAGCCCATGGGGATTTCAACTGAGATAGAAAAAATGCACAAAATGATGTAAAAATAAACTATTATATTATTTTTAAAAAATTCTCACAATAGGGCCTTCCCTGGTGGCGCAGTGGGTTAAAGCACTGCACTATGAAGCTTAAGCCACTTCCGCATGAGTTCGATCCCCACCTGCCCCGGAGGTGACCACATGGCGTGGCAGACCTCTCCTTACCCGCCCGCTGCTCCCCTCAGCAGTGTACTTTGTTGATCTGTCTGTTCTGCTCCCCACTATGTACCTGGTGAATCCTCTCACCCTCCACATCTCTGGCCTGTAGCCCAGTTCTGCATGAATAAATAAATAAATCTTTAAAAAAAATTCTCACAATAACTTAATATGCAAAGAGATTAGTGGACTAGAATTCACAGAGCTAGCTAGATAACCGAGTCATACATGGATCCAGACTTTTTGCATGGGAAAATGCATTAATTATGCTTAATTTTTTTTTAATTTTATGCCTTTTCCAGAATGATTTTTAATGGTTCACCTAAGCTCCTTTCATTACTGAACATAATCTATAAAACAGAGTTGATAAGTATTTACACTAAGGAGAACTACCTGACCACTTATTCTGTCTACTGCCTTGTAATTTGCTCAAGACCTTGCCCTGAAGGTGAAAGACAATTTGCTGGTTTTTTTTTTTTTTTTAAAGATTTATTTATTTGTGCATACAGAACTGGGGTACAGGCCAGAGGCTCAGGGGTGGTGAGAGGCTTCACCAGAGACAGAGTGGGGAACAGAACAGGCAGATCGACGAAGTACACTGCTGAGGGGAGCAGCGGGCGGGTCAGGAGAGGTCTGCCACACCATGTGGTCACCTCCGGGGCAGGCGGGAATTGAACTCATGCAGAAGCAGCTTTAGATTCTCAGTGCTGTGTTTTAACCCACTGCGCCACCAGGGAGGGCCAATTTGCTGGTTTTTAGAATGAAACTTTTTGACATAAATAAGCCATACAAAATAGAAACCAAACTAAGACGGGGGTGATGTACTGTTCAAAGTGCTGGATGCATTTGATTTCTCGCCATGCCATTTCTAGCAGAGGGAATAATTTCTGAAGATTTTCTTAGAAAGTGTGAAAGTCACCATTTCTTACCTTCTGGGATGGTAACTACATCTGGTCCCACATTTCTGTCTCTTGGGAATGCTTCATTCTGATACCTAACAAACAAGGAATTATTGATCTCATTCAGCAATTTTACTGACTGTGGATTTTGCCTTTACCAGAAATTGTTGCTGGAGATCAGTGGTTGTATGATTTTTTTTAATTCATGAATTTTGATTTCTGGATATATTTAATTGAAATAATGAGTGACAATGAAGATCAAATCATTTCATGATTTAACATCTAAGGGTAAAGCATCACTGATTCCTTCCTTTATTATCATTATTAGCATATGTAGAGAAAGATGAAAGGTGGGAGGGAGGAAGGAAGAAATGCAGGACAAGAGGAGAAAGTGAAGGAAGAAGAGGAAAGAAAGGCAGAGGACAGAGGGAGAGAAAGACAAGGGAGAGGGGAGCAAAAAGTTACAGCTGTCTTGTTATTCACTGCCACTAATTATAACTGTAGTTATGTAACTACTTGGGTAGGGCTGAACTGGATAGGAAAGTCTTCTTAGATAAAACCCTACCCATGTCTCATGAGCTGCCCACATGCAGTGGAAAATCTGAGTGGAAACAAAGGAATGGAATTGAAATCCTACATCCCTTTGAGCACCTTGGCCTGAATTCTCTGCATTTGGATGTCATTAAACTTACGTGATCTCACCACTGTGAGCTCTGTCCTTTATTTAGTTTACCTAAAACTTTGGCTCAGAGCAAGAGCTCTCTGTACAGCCAAAACAAACTGCCAAAGGCCAGCAATACAGGGTGAGCCAAAAGAGATTGGTTCAGCCTGGTCCCCAAGGCCAATTATGACATACCACACCACACAGGAGTCTTGGGCAATTTGAATGGTTTTGAAGAGATTCAGGAAACAGATTTTAATGCCATAGGAAGTTTTGTGGCATGAAAGCATAGTTCTAAGAATTTTAACTAATCATTCTAGCTGTCCATAGTATGGCCAGTGAACTCTTAAAAAATTTTAACTTCTTGATAAAGGAATAGTAACTCAGAAAAGCTAGAGTTTTTGTTTTTTTCATTTTATAGTATTTTTTTCAGTTGTCACATATGAATGTGACAGGAAATCCTATATCAAAAAACATGTATAAGACATTCTTATATTGTACATATATAATTTTTTCTTTTAGAGTGACTTTTACAAGTAGGGCATTACAATTAAAGTCATTTCTGGGAGAGATGGAAAATATAAAAATTCCTGAAGAGTGTGAGAATTGTATATAAGGACAGTCAAAATGGAGAGGCTTTGACCCAGAAGCTGCATACAATGATGCCACTACCTTGCCTTTGTGTTAGCGGATTTTACCAATGAAGATGTTATTAGTTACCCCACACTAACTCTGATCTTGTTCAATTAGTCCTCAGGACCTAAGTGGTACCACAACAAAAAACAACACATCACTATGGAAAACTGTCTGGAGGTTCCTCAAGCTGCTAAACATGGAGCTTCCCTACGACCCAGCAATCCC